AAGTACGGTGGTCAGTTAATTTATACCTCTATAATTGTTAAAGTATTCTTTATCTCCTCTTTTAAACATTGGTATCATTATGCTGTTTCTCCATGCGTCTGGTATTTTGCAGTGCAATATTAATTTTTGTATAAGTTTTGTCATCTCTAGAATTATACTTTCTCCTCCGTCTTTTAGAAGCTTTATTGGTTATTTCAACTGGTCCTTGTGACCTATTTATGAGTGAATTTATGGCTATCTCTACTGCCTGAAAACTGATTTTAATTTAGGCACGTTATTGTCTTGATTAATATTTTCCTTTCCCTTAAATAGTTCCGTCAAGTATCTTTTTCATTCGTTTGCTGGTATGTTATTGTTTTCCTTTAATTCTGCCATTTCTTTCCGTTGTTTTTTTATGTGTATCGTAGAAGTAACTTTCTATCCTTTTTGTAAACTGTTCTCAGTGTTTATTTTTTGTTCCTCATACCATTTGCTTTGTTTCATTTCGTATTCTTCTATAAGTGTCTTGGGATTTACATTTCACGAACTCTAAAAATAAGGTTGATTAACTGCTTAATATTCCCAATATTGACATATATATGTGAATCTTGGACCAAACGACAAGCAGAAAGAAGAAAGATAGGCGCCATTAAAATCCTGTTAGGGAGAAATGGAGAACATGTTTACATGTTACAAATTCTATGGACCGACCACAAAACCTTATCTTCGCAAGTAAGAGCAGTCGATATAAGGCATATAACCTTATAATAATTTCACTTTTAAGGAGCTCTTTCAATAGTAGTTCTCTTCTTTGGAGGGAACACATGTTTTAAGATAATAGTCTATTTTTCTAAAATCTAAATAAACCAATAAGATTAAGAACCATGTTATAGTTTGAAACCCTTATATTCTATAAGTTCGTTGATAAGGGTCAGTGTTCGACAATAGAGTTACCATATAGCGTCTAGACTTGATAAAACCATCCCTATATTCCGGATAATTTAAAGAGGTAAAAAAAATAAAATAAAACTTGTAAACTACAAAAATCCGTTCTGATTACATCTTTGCCAAACTATAATCACATTTTCTCCGAGAAAACGAATAACTTAGTCCGTAGATTGCATCCCCAAGTAGTTGCCTCATTATTTCGAAAATATTCCGGTATCGAGAGGTTTTCCCAAGGAAATAAGAACAAAAATGGCGGCGGTGGAACGTTGAATAGTCTGATCTGTTCTTTGTGGGACGCAGACTTGAGAACATACTCCGAGAACAAATTGTTAAACTTCGAAGTAATGGGTAGGTTCCTTAACTAGAAAATAGTTTTGAACTTGTGATTCAAGAATACAGAACAAAGAGAAATAGGACTGATGATTTCAAAATAATTTATACACTCTAAAAAAATTACTTAACATTTTTATCCATAAGTTCTCACATTTAATAAACTTTCAGTACCTATTGTTCTAAAGCTATTTTCTTGTGAGATTTTATAGTAATAACTATTTAAATGGAAATAAGCCACAATTAAAGGTTAAAGTAGCGGGTAGCGGGTAGGTACCCCTCTATGATCCCGATAGAGGGTAGACTTACTTTAGGGAGATAGCGTCCCTACCCACGCGAGCTCTTGGTTTTCCTCCATTCCCTAATTAGAGGAATCCAGGTCCAAACCCCAATATTATCCTACCCAAACCCCAAATTCCTTCCCTATATCCCCCCACCTATTTCACCGAAGGATTGCCGGTATAAGCAATCCCCCACTTAATGGCCAACGGCTTCGGGCGGATGAGCTGGTAAGTGACAGGGCACTCTTTTGTCCAGGGGTTGGGAAACTGGCCCTAAAGGCGAAGGAACCTCAGTAGAGGTCAACGGCATAAGGATGTAGAAGGCCGAGGACAACCACTACATTAAAGATTCCATTGAATAGTCCTAGTATAAAATCATATATGGTAATGCTCACAACTAAATACGATTCCGGAGTAAGTTCCCCAATCGGATCTCCGGGGGGACAGTTATGAGTACCTATAAAAAAGAAAAAGCAGCAAAACCACAATTTTTAAAAATTTGCACATGGAATGTGAAAACTATGGCAAGGAGTGGAAAAATAGACAATGCCATTCAGGAAATGGAAAGAATGACCATTGACATAATGGGAATAAGTGAGATGAGATGGCCCGGAACAGGAAGCATTGACAAAAAAGATCACAGAATATTTTACTCAGGGTCACTAGATGGAAAACTAGAGCATGGAGTTGGTGTGATAATAACGAGAAAAATTAGTAGATGTATTTTAAATTTTGTCCCAGTGTCCAACAGAGTAATACTACTGCAAATAAGAGCCAATCCAGTGAATGTAAACATAATACAAATATACGCTCCCACTGTAGATAAAGACGACGAGGAAGTAGAGACTCTCTACCAAAGCATAGAGGATATATTAGAACGAATACCTAAACATGAGGTCAGCATCATAATAGGGGATTTCAATGCAAAACTTAAGGCCGAACGGAAAACGTCTCTAATCGGACCTTTTGGGTTAGGACAAAGAAACGAAAGAGGTGACAGACTAGAAATATTCGCAGAAGATAACAAGCTAGTGGTTCTGAACACATTTTATAAACTACCACCGAGGAGATTGTATACATGAAAGGCACCAGCAGATAAACCCCATAACGTAATTAGAAACCAGATAGATTATATATTGGTAAATAGAAGATTCAGAAACAGTTTTAAATCTGTCAAAACATATCCAGGAGCGGACATTGAATCTGACCACATACCTTTAGTGGGAGTCATGGATGTGAGACTGAAGACAATAAAGAAAAAGTCTAGACCTAACTACGACATGACAGCCCTGCAACATCCGGAAGTTAAAAAGCAAGTGGGGGAATATATTAACAACCAAGTTAAACAACTAAAAGAAGAAAATAACATCCAACGAGAAATCAATCAATTCGAAGAAATAATTAAGAAAACTAAACAAGATCTGCTAAAACCAAATAAAGAAACAAAGAAGAAATCTTGGATGACTCCAGAAATCCTTCATTTAATGGAACGCAGAAGGTTAATTAAAGGAAATAAAGATGAGTATAAAAAAATGCAGGCTTACATCAGAAGAAAAATAAGAGAAGCTAAAGAAAAAGAAGCTGTAGAGAAATGTAAAGAAATAGAAAGACTACAAGCCAAGCATGACAATTTTAATGTACACAAAAAGGTAAAAGAAATAACGGGTACTTTTAAAAAGCGAACACAAATGAAACTCATAGACACCAATGGAAAATTAATCATTGACACCCAAGACATGAAAGACAGATGGAGAATATATTTGGAGACACTTTTTCAAGACCAAACAACGGATTATAGGCATCCATTTTCAGAGAGGATGACGGGCCCGGACATACTTAAATCCGAGGTAGAAGAAGCAATAAAACGGATGAAAAGCAGGAAAGCTGTAGGGCCTGATAATATCGAAGCTGAATTTTTAAAACTCTTGGAGGAAGAAGGAATAATTTGGATCACGGCTGTCTTCAATAAAATTTACAATACAGGAATCATCCCTGATAAATGGCTAGAATCAGAATTCATAGCGATACCTAAAAAACAGGGGGCTAAAAAGTGCGAAGAATATCGAATAATCAGCCTAATGAGCCACATGTTGAAACTGTTTCTTAGAGTCATCCATGGAAGAATTTATAAGAAGTGCGAGGAACAAATATCGGACAGACAGTTCGGCTTCATTAACGCAGTGGGTACCAGAGAGGCACTTTTTGGAGTACAGGTACTGATTCAAAGATGCAGGGACGTTAACTGCGACGTATACGCGTGCTTGATCGACTACGAAAAGGCATTTGACAGAGTTCAACATCAAAAGATGATAAACATTTTAAAAGAGGCAGACCTGGATGACAAACACCTCAGAATAATTTCAGAACTCTACTGGAATCAGACCGCATACATGAAAATTAACGGAGAAGAAACAGATCACATAAAATACTACGTGGAGTTAGACAGGGATGTATCCTATCGCCGTTGATATTTAATATGTACTCAGAGAAAATTTTTAACGAGGCTCTTTACGGAATAGACGAAGGCATCCTTCTAAATGGTGAAAGAGTAAACAATGTTAGAGATGCCGACGACACCATGGTGATAGCAGATAGTTTAGAGGGACTTCAGAGGTTAATGGACAAAATAAACGAGTACAGTCAACAGTACGGACTGAACATTAATACCCACAAAACGAAACAAATGATTATCAGCAAGGAGAATATAAATGGGTCTCATATATACATTAATGGGACGCAGATAGAGCGAGTAAAACAGTATTTTTACCTGGGAACTATTATTAACGAACAGTGGAGCAATTTACAGGAAATAAAGTGCCGCATAGGAAAGGCAAGAACGGTCTTTAACAAAATGAGCGCCAATTTCAAAAGTCACAACATATCCCTTGATACAAAAATGAGACATTTGAGATGCTATGTTTTCTCTGTGTTGTTGTACGGGGCGGAGGCATGGACGCTTACAGACGCCACTATTAAAAAACTTGAAGCATTTGAGATGTGGCTTTACAGAAGAATGCTGAGAATATCATGGACAGCAAGGATCACGAACAAGGAAGTTCTAGGAAAGATGAAGAAGGAACCAGAGATTGTGTTTACGATCAAACGCATAAAATTGCAATATCTGGGACACGTTATGAGAAATCAGCACCGTTACTCCCTGCTACAGTCTATATTGCAAGGTAAAGTCAAAGGTAAGCGAGGACCCGGTAGAAGGAGAATATCATGGCTGCGGAATTTAAGAACATGGTTTAAGAAAACCTCAACGGAGCTGTTTCGAGCCGCAGCGAGCAAGGTTATGATTGCCAATATGATTTCCAACATCCGAAACAGATAGGAACTAGAAGAAGAAGAAGAACGGTTAAAGTAAGTTTATTGAACGTTTCAATTTTGACTTCGGAAATCATTCTCAAAATACAAAGATTAGTAAGTTAAACAGATTTTGTTTTTTTTTTGTTCTTTTTCTTAAGGTGCCCGTCCGTTTCGAGCGTTGGCGATCATTCTGGCTATGATGACTTTGTTGGTTGCTATACGAAATAACTGTGGTGAGGTCTTTCTATACCCTGCTCTCAGGTTAGCAAGCCAGGATATTCTTCTTCGTCCTGGGGCCCTTTTTCCTTCAATTTTACTTTGTAAAATGCATTTAAGTATCTCATATCTGCCTTGTTTTTTCATTATATGGCCCAAGTACTGCAGCTTAAGGTCCTTCACGATGTTGACCAAATCCACAGTTGTGTTTATTCTCTGCAATACCTGTTCATTGGTGACTTTGTCTGTCCATGGTATCTTCAAGATCCTTCTGTATGAACATAGCTCAAAATACTGAAGTTTTGATAGAGTTTTCGCCTTTAATTTCCACGTTTCTACTCCGTACAGAAGCATTGAGTACACATAACATTTAAGGAGCCTTATTTTTGTTTCTAATGTGAGGTCATGGCTCTTGAACACAGAACTCATATTCAAGAAAGCACTCTTTGCCTTTCAGATGCGACATTAAATCTCTTGGGTATTGTCCCACGACTCATTGATTATAGTTTCCAAGTAATTCTATTCTGAGACTCGTTCAATTCTTATTTGGTTCAAATCCCACTGCTGTCACCACTGTAATACTAGCGGGGTTTATCCGCTGTCACCATTGAAATAATTCTTTTTCAGTGCCTCATCCGGTCCGCATGTTGGCGATCATCAAGGCTATCATGGTTTTGTTGACTGCTCTGCGAAACAGCTCCGCTGAGGTCATACCATTGAAATACTAGCGGAGTAAAATTATTGTAACCCCTATAACATCCTAGGTTTAAACTTTAAAGGATGCTTATCCCTGCGAGTGGAGGCAAGGCTTACTGGTCCCACTAGTCTGAATTGGCTGGTTCACCCTCGTGGATTTACAAGAGGGTAGGAAAGTCTAGAAAACGGGTTAAGGACTTCTAGGTTTCAGGTTCTGTAAAGAGTTAAGTCTATGGGCTTACCTTAGAAGCCGGAGAAATGCATAAGCGGAAATTGTGTACTCTTCTAGTCTCTCCCTGTAACGGCCGGGAAGGAACAATAAAACCAAGTTTCGAGTCTACAAATGTATTAAATAGACTGTATACCACAACTAAGTTAACAAGCTGTCAGTTATAACCCATAAAGATTCGTTCCGGTGCGAAGGGAGACGAGAAGAGACCTTAGCAAGAAATTAAAGCGTGGACAATCTGCGTGTATATTTATTACTTGGGTTTGTATTAAGATTTAGTTTTATTCGCGTATTTAGGCCCTATCTAATGAATACGCCCTTCACTCCTACTGGAATTCAGGTTCAGTTGTGAAAAAACGGCGCGCTATCACGAGTTTTCGAAACTCCCGGTACCCGGCACTTATACGGTACTATTATCCCGCCGAAATACAAATAGCGCGTTCACTTGATCGCCTTGTGGTGCGGAGCCTTTCCAGCGGTTCCACACTTACTGCCTCCGACGATTACTGGACGCTACCGCCTCCGAGCACTCACGCACCTACTCTGGCTCCGGTCGCCCGAATTCTACCGGTGCCTGGCGCTTACTGACGACTTTCCTAGTCCACTTCATTCGTTTTTTTATGAACCTGTATTCTCATTTTCCGAGGTCGAGCTTTTGCTGACTCAGTACTCATGCGGTGTTATTTTTTTCAACAAAGGTCTCTGTTTTTAAACGTGATTTTTCCTTTTAAACAATTGTTGCAAACTGATATTGGACTCGTGCAACACTTAAACTAGGTCGAGTTATCATTCTTTGTTTAATTTGAAATGTATACGTTATCTATGTCGAATTATGGATATATAATAATTATTTAAAGAATTTTTACTCTTCTCTAGGCTACTACCCCTTATTAGTTTTTCTCTGTATTTTCTTGCTATGTTTACATTACAATTTGCTCTAGTTATATTTTCTTTGCTGATGATCATTAACTTGAATTTGCTGGTGTTTATATCCAGTCCATATTTTCTACTTGTTTTCGTTATTTTGTACATTTTTGTTTATCAAGTTTTGCAGTCATTCTATGGTATTGGAATATACTATTGTTTCATGTGCATACCGCATTTTATTGGGATACCTTCATCAATATCTTTTAGCCCCTTTTCAAAAATGTGCTCCGGGTACAGATTAAACATCAGTGGTGAAATAATGCACCCTGTCTCACTCCCCTTAAGATTTTAACCTGATCCGTATATTCTCCATCTATTCGGAGTACCGCTGATTGATTCCAATACAGGTTATCTATTATTTTTAAGTCTTTTCCGCCAATTCCTGTCCTTTTTAGCACTTCTATCATTTGTTCATGTCTGACTCTATCCAAAGTCTTTTTGTAGTCCATCGGGCATGCAAAAACATTACAGCTGACATCTCTACATTTCTGAAACAATATCTTCACGCTAAATAAAGCTTCCCTCGTATCAACGGCGTTCACAAATCCAAACTGATAGGGCGCAATTTGTTTCTCGCATTTCCGGTAAATTTTTTTGTGGATGACCATTAAAAACAGCTTCAGCAGATGGCTCATTAGGCTTATGGTCCTGTAATCTTCACAAACTTTTGCTCCAGGTTTTTTGGGCAATGGTACGAACTCCGATTTGAGCCACTCTACTGGTATTTTTCCTGCATTGTATATTTCATTAAATATTTCAGTTATTATTTTTATTTGTTTCAAGGGAAACTATTATACTAGGTGACCTCAACGCAAGAACTGGTAGAAGAATAAAAGATAAAACAATAGGACCATATGGAGAAAACACTACAAACGATAATGGCAATAACTTAATAGAAATGTGTAGACACAACTCACTAAGGATCATGAATGGGTATTTCAAACATAAGGAAATACATACATATACATGGACTCAGCCTACAAGAAACTTAAGATCAGTAATTGATTACCTAATAATGAAACAAAAATCTAAAATAAAAGTGCATGACGTAAGAGTATTTCAAGGAGCCGAATGTGGAAGTGACCACCATCTAGTAAAAGCTAAAATGATACTACCGCTAAGCGGAAACGGTAAACACCAACAAAACAAAAATCTAAATGAAAATCACTCAGCAGAAGGTGAACAACTACAGTATAATCTAACAAGTTTAGACAACGATAGTACTAGAGAATTGTATAAAAAAAGATTGGAGCAACAACTACCACAGGAATTTAAACATAAAACAACAGAAGAGTTACATAGCATAATAAGAAAGGGAATACATCAAGCGGCCAAAGAAGCATTAGGAATAAGAGTAAACAAACTCAGAAAGACAAATAATTGGTGGAATGATGAACTACAGGAAATGAAAGATCAAAAGCAAAAATTATATCACAGATGGTTGGGAACAAAGGATCAAGAACACAAAAGAGAATATAGAAAAATGGTAAATAAATTTAAATCCACGATAATAGAGTCAAAAAATCAAAGCTGGGAGAGAAAATGTCAGGAATTAGATACGTATATTGGCGGCCGCAAATCAAAAGAATCCTGGAGATTTATAAAAAACATCAGATCCAACAGAACAGAACAAATAGCCATACACTCCATAGAGCCCGAAAAATGGGAACAACACTATAAAACACTGTTAGTAGAAGAAAGACCGGAATTCAAAAACATAGAACAACATGAAATCCTGATTCAAGGAGAGCCTCCAACAATTAACATCGAAGAAACTAAAAAAGCTATATCATTGTTGAAAAATGGACGTGCTCCGGTCCCAGAGGGGATATATGCAGAGTTAATAAAAAATGGAACCAACAAACTATTCGAGATACTAACAGAAGTTTTCAATAGGCACTTGCACGGAGAACCAGTGCCACAGAGTTGGAAAGAAGGATGGATTACATCTATCCATAAAAAAGGAAATAAGGAAGATTGCAATAACTATCGGGGTATAACTGTTACGAGTACGCTTAGCAGATTATATGGGAGAATTATAAAAGAACGCATATGCGAAGAATACCGTCCTTTTGAATCAGAAGAACAAAACGGATTCAGAGCGGGACGATCCACAATAGATAGTATTTTTTGCTTATCCCAAATACTCGAGAAAAGAACACTGAGATCTCGAGAAGTGCATTTACTTTTAGTCGATTTAACAAAAGCATATGACACCGTGCCTGTTGCGAAATTGTGGGAAGTATTGGAGAAAACCAGTATCAGCGTTTCACTAATCGACGCTATTAAAGATCTATATAACAACACAATATCAAAAGTTAAAATAGGAAATAAGGTTAATAATGGTTTTCAGGTAACAAAAGGACTGAAGCAAGGTTGTTGTTTATCTCCCATACTATTTAATATATATATCGACGAAGCACTCAGGCAATGGAAAAAGAAGTGTAAAGGGATGGGGCTGTCTATTGGGGATGAAACGTTATACACGCTGCATTATGCAGATGACCAGGTAGTTATTGCCCAAGACAAGGAAGACCTAGAGTATATGGCTAGAAAACTAATGGAAGAGTACAAAAAATGGGGCCTCGAAGTAAATTTACAAAAAACGCAATATCTTTGCATAGGAGGAGAAAATACTGCAGATGACCTCGACTTAGAAGACTTGAAAATTAAGAAATGCGATCAATGTATATATTTGGGGGTAAAACTAACAAAGACAGTAGGGAAACAAATAACCAAAGGGAAACGAGTTATAGGTGCATTGAATTCAGTACTATGGCAGAAAAATATAAGACCGGAGACGAAAAAAAGAATATATAACACAATATTGAAACCAGTAATCGTGTATGGCTCAGAAGTATGGCAGTTATCACAAAAACTTAAAGGTAACCTCTTAGCAGTTGAAATGGATTTTTGGAGGAGAGCAGCGGGAAAGTCTCGATTAGAACATGTGAGAAATGAGGACATAAGAAATCAAATGAATGTACAAAGATCAATTATAGAAGACATCGAAAAACAACAACTGACATGGTACGGACATGTTAGACGTATGGGGGAAGAAAGACTACCAAAAAAAATATTAGAATGGGTACCACCAGAGAAAAGAAAACGAGGACGACCACCAACAACATGGATGCAAGGAATTGCAAAAGCCATGTCAGCAAGAAATCTATTTGAAGAAGACTGGCAGAATAGACAGGCTTGGCGAACGGGAACCCAAAGGCGGATTACGCTATAAACGGGATATATATGTATATATTTTTATTTGTTCTTCTTCTAATAGCTTCAACAGTTCTACAGGAATTTCATCAAGTCCCGTTGCCTTTCCATCCTTTATTTGTCTGACGGCTGCCGTTATTTCTTCTGGTAGGATTTCGGGACCTGAATTTTCTGCAATGGTGGGCTCTTGTATTGTTCTAAGATCATGGAAAAGCTTCTCTAAGTATTTTTCCCATACTTTCTATTTCTCTTTCCTGGTTATGGCAAGATTGCCTTCATTATCTGTTATTTTTCCGATGGTGCGTTTTCGGAACTCTCCAGCTATTTCCTTCACCTTTCGATGAACGTTGAAGTTAACATATCGACTCTGATACCCCTCTATTTCCTGACATTGTTCTGTTTTTTGTTTCTCTTTGGAATCTCTTATTTTTCTTCTGATGATGGTATGTATTCTCTTATATTCTTGGAAATTTTCTTTGTTTTTTTTTCTCTGATCCACGAATTCAAGTATTCCATCGGTCATTCACGATTTCCGTTATCTTTTTCACTATTTCTTGTATGATGGTCAGACTTTTCTCTATTGTTCCTGCATTTTTGCATTTTATTACCTTTGTTTTAAGGTTTTCACTCATCTTCAGTAGAACATTAGAATCTTTCAGTTTTCTAACATCATATTTTTTCATCGACTTACTTGTAACCTTCATTCTGACTTTGAAATTACCTACAACTGGTACATGTTCGGAATTTATGTCTGCCCCGGGTATGTTTTGACATATGTACAGTTGTTCCTACACCTCTTATTTATTAGCACGTAATCAATCTGATTTCTTACAATCCTTCCTACAGAGTCCTGTGGAGATTTCCAGGTGTACAGTTTCCTTGGGTGTAGCTTAAACCAGGTGTTCATTATTACCAATTCATTTGTTTCCGAAAATATCTCCAACGTATCTCCCCGATCGTTGCATTTGCGTTTTTTTGTTACTTGGTGAAATGTTCTATTAATTTAGTTTTTCTGACTCATTTATATGGACAATTCAGACATACATTATATATTTTAAAGTAGACGACTTTAAAATGATATTGCCTATATTGTTGAGTTGCGTTCCTGGGACGACTTTAATTGTAAGATAGTTCATTCGATTACATGCAATCAACTTTAACTTGAGAATATCCGTCAGAAAAAAATTATAGCAGGTAATTCGTCTTTAAAAAGACAAAAATGCCATGATGATAGTAAAATTCTTCTCTTAGCGATTCCATATAAATTATGGAGGAAAACTCGGAAAAAAAAACCTCGTAATACTATCCAGATATGGTAAGTATTTGGTCGTGCATTTAGTTTACTTTCAATAAACACCAAATTCTGATATTACATGTTTGTTATTTAAAAACATAAATGATGTATACTCTATATGATACTGACTTACATATACTGGTATTTTTCTTTTAATAACTTCTTTTTTTAATATTGGCAACCAGATCCTACTACATCCTCCCTAGGAATTTGCGACACAATTGGATTCATTTAGCATAATTAGAGTCGCTTCTTTAATTTTTCTCTTTTTATCGTCCGTTTCTTTTAGGACTATATTTGAATCACGACCAAAATTTACCTTGTCGGGATAGTACTATAGGTTTTTTCCTGGATTTTCCCTCATAATTTACTATGGAATCACTAACAGGAGAATTTTACTGTCATCATGTCATGTGTTTGTCTTTTTAAAGACGAATTACATGCTATGATTTTTTCCGATGGATATTCTCAAGTTAAAGTTGATTTAATGTAATCGATTGAACTGTCTTACAAGTCGTCCCAGAAACGCAACTCAACAATATTGGCAATATCATTTTAAAATGAGATAAAATTAAATTATTAGAAGAATTTT